GCTCAGCCCCTTCTGCCCTGTCCCGGGGCTCTGCAGCATCTCTGGCTCTTCAGGACCCCCCGGTGCCCCCCTCTGGTGTCCCCCCACGTGGCACAGGTGTCACCACCCCTGTGTCCCCTCTGTCCCCCCCAGAAGCCGCTGTTTTTGGTGGTGGTGGCCGTGCTCTTGTTAGTCGCCCTCATCATCGGACTCTCAGTGGGGCTGCCCACGAAATAGCCCCAGAGAGGGGGGTCTGTAAGTTTTGGGGGGCAGGGGACCCCCCCTGTGGGGACATGGAGTCCCGGGGGGCAGCAGGGACTGCTGGAGTGGTCCCACCGTCAGCTCCTGCTCAGGGGGACCCCGGTGCTTTGGGGCTGTCACGGGGCTGGGGGTGGTTTTGGGTCTGTGGTGCTCGGGGGCTCTGCATTCCTTGGGGGTCTGCAGCGCTCAGGGCTCTGCTGTGCTTGGGGTCTGTGGTGCTCGGGGGTCTTTGTTTCCCAGGAGCCTGCAGCGCTCAGGGGTCTTTGGAACTCGGGGGTCCCTGTTGCTGGGGGGATGTGTCTGTGCCGTTTGGGGGGCCTGCGTTCCTCGGGGGGCTGCGATGCTCAGGACACGTGGCTCAGGGGTCTGTGGCGCTCGGGGCTCTGTCGGTGTTTGAGGGGCTGCAGCCTCAGGGCTCCGAGTGGCTCGGGGGTCTGCTCTGCTCGGGGGCTGCAGCGCTCGGGGGTCCCTGCTGCTCGGCCCTGCGGTGCCGGGGGCTCTGGAGGTCGGATCCGTGCTCCCCACATCCCTCCCTCCCCACAGCTCCCCGCTGCACCCCCTCATCCCATTCCCTTCCAGCCTCTCCAGCCGGGAGTTGACATCCCGCCTCTCCCTCCTCCAGACGCTCCCGACCATCCCAGCGGTGTCACCTCCCGGCTGGATCCTCCCCGGCACCGATCCCGCCCGCTTCCCTCCCTGCCTTTCCCGGACCTGCTCCCCTCACCCTCCGTGTCCCGCTTCCCACCGCTGGCTCCGGCTCGGCACCGCCGCCTTTCCCTCCACGGAGCGTCCCGTCTCAGTTCCCCGCCGATCCCTAGGATCCTCCCCACGGGAAAAGGGAGGGGACACCGCGACACCGCGGGGACGTGGCCGCTGGTGCCAGCGCGGGGTGACAAGGAGATGGATCCAAGGGTTGGACACTCGTCCCGGTGGCACGCGGGACGGGAATGGGGACAGTGACCGGCGCCGCGGCGACCGTGGACATTTTAGTTCCCAATTCCAATAAAATCCCGGCTGATCCCTGCCCTGTGCCTCCTCTCCCTGCTGTCACCCCGGACACCCAAAGCCACCAGCCCGGCTCCGGGGGTGCCCGGGGGTCTGGGGTCTGTGACAGCCCCGTTTTTGTAGGAGATGAGGGGGGCTGTGGGGCTGGGGACACCCCAAACCCTCCGGGCTCTGCCCGGAGTGTCCCCCCCGCCCAAGTGTTTGGGTAAGTCACAGTTTGGTCACCTGTGCCAGGGGGACACACCGGCACTGTCACCTCCCTGTGCCACATGCAAGCAGCTCACACCTGCCCTGTCACCTCCTCTGTCCCCTCCCAGCCTATCCTTGTCCTTTATCCCCGTCCCCAGCCCCATTCCTAGTACCTGTCCCCTGCCCCCCCTCCCCAACACCGTCCCTTGTCCCCAGCCCCACTCCCTTTTGCCTTGTTCCCCTTCCCAGCCCCGTCCTTGTCCCTCTCCCAATCTGTCCCCCTCCCATCCCTGTCCTTGCTCCTTGTCCTCCTCCCCAGCCCCATTCCTTATCCCTTA